GGTTTTCAACGGCTTCTAGATTTAGACCAAAATTTTTCCATTCAAAGCATTTGGTAGTTGCGTGGATGATTTTGGGAGATGTAGTGTTGTTGTTGAAACTAAAACTAATCCCATCATTAAGGCATCTGAGTGGAATAAATCTATTTAGGGCTTGTTTGGTTTGCATTTCTGTTTTCTATTTTCAATTTTGAATTCATTTTCTGCTTTTTTATTTTGAGGGATCATTTAAATATTGCAGAAAACGCATTTGGTTTAAAAAGTTTACAAATAATTTAATGATATTTTTTCAATTAATTTGATCATTTAGTAAAACATATCAATTTTATGCTAATATATGATCAAAAAATATATAGGGCATGTTTGAGCCACATTATTTCAAAAAATGCATTCTTAAACAGTGATTTAACATCATTTCAATCACACATTCTCCAATAAAATAATATTATATTCAAATCAAAAACTTTTCCTTATTTTTTAATCACGCATTTCCCATCAATACACTATTCAAGAATGCATTATTATCAAAATAATGTGACTCAAACACCCCCATATTAAATTTGGTTAAATAAAAGGAATCATTGAAAAATTGAGAGAGGGCACAAGATAGATGGATTTTCTACTAAGGTTCTTGGAGGAGTTTGGGATGAGAGACCGAGAAATGAGCATTTGTATTTGGATAGATTTTTTGTGATTTTATTAATTATTTCAATTTGAGAAATTTTTAAGTTCATTTTCCTTATTTTAAGTTTTTTGAAACGCCCAAAACATCAAAAAAGTCATTTTAAGTTTTATGTTATAAAATTTTCCTTATTTTCGAAAACACATTTTTGAAAATAAAATACTAAACACGTTTTAGTGTTTTAGAAAATTAAAAATGACCTCAAAACGGCAAATCAAACACACTTTAACCTTTTCCGCAATTTTCTTACCTCTTAATGGATTTGGTCTAAAAAGCAAATTTTTTTCAAATATTTTTAAATCAAAAGCAAAAATTCTAGTTACTTCTGTCATTTCGAACTACAGATGAGATAAAAAATGAATTACCATCATTCCAACCATGAACGCCTAAATCAAAGGAAAAAAAAAAGGTTAATTTATTGACTAATTTATTTTCTAAGATAACAAGATCCACGCTACTCGATAAAATGACCAAGTTGGATTTTAGCAACATTGGTAGACCTCTAGTGATTTATGTTGAAAGAAGACTATTCATTCTCCAATGAATTTTACAAATAATCACAACCTAAACTCAAGCTACTGTAATGATTTAGATCTATTAAAACCTTTCAGAATCAAGTTAATTGTTTCAATGGTCACTGAATTAAGGTTCATGTCTTTGATTGGCCATTGAACTTTAAAATGTCGAGTTTTGGTCACTGAACTTAAGTCAATATTTTCGATTGCTCACTAGACTTAGATCCATGTCTTTGATTGCTCACTGAAATTTAAAATATCGAGTTTTGGTCACTAAACTTTGAAATATGATGTACGTTACTTACTAGCGTAACTGTTGAACTTTAAAAAATATTGAATTTACAATTAATAATGTATAACATTTTTCAAAGTTCAGTGAGTAAAGTACTACATTTTCAAAGTTTAGTGGCCAAAACTCGATATTTTAAATTTCAATGAGTAATCGAAGACATGGACCAAAATTTAGTGACCAAAATTTGACATTTTTTAAAGTTCAGTGGTCAAAACTCGACATTTTAAACTTTAGTGGCCAATCAAAGACGCAGACCTTAGTTCAGTAACCAAAACTCGACATTTTAAAGTTCAATGGTCAATCAAAGACAGTGACCTAAGTTCAGTGACCATTGGAACAATTAACTCTTCAGAATCCCCATATCTAAATCCAAACACATACCAGCAGAGATTTTAATAGTTCTAAACCATTAGATTAGCCTACTTTATGAATTTACATAAAAGGTTTCCTTTTGAAAATCCTATATGATGAAAAATTCATTTTCTAGGCCTATACTATCCTATAAAGGCACAACTTTATTTCCCAAAAGACTAAAGGAATAAAAAAAGCGTGCCCCTAAAAAGCATAAGCTGACCATGTAGTGCATATAGGCATTGACAAATTTTGAGAGCAAAGATACATTTCAATGATTGATAAATATATTGTTGTACCAAATGATCCAAAAAACACTGACTAGGACTCCTAGTTTGAAAATCTTAATCAAATCAAATACAATAGGCCACCCAAGGATAAACAGCCCATTGGAAGAGCCATGGGTTCCTTGACAACTACCCTTCACCCCACCCCCACCCTACCCGCCACTCCATGCTCTTTCAAGGCAACCTCATCCAGTGACATACTGCCCCTGGTTTTAAAAAACCAAGAACTGAAATGCAATGGACAGCCCAGTTTTGTGTAAAGTTCCCATCACTAAAAACATTATACAAAATCTAGTTGGCATGTAAAGTATAGATTTCAAGAAGGCCTCACATGCCTTGAAAGACTTTATGAGGGATATTCTTCACTAGGATATGCAGAAAAATAAAGGAAGATGATAATAACATATTCATTTTATTTGAATTAAGTCTTCATGATTGAACTCGATTTTTATTAATGATCTAGCATGTGCATAATTTTTATATATAGATAGCAGCAAGACATGAATATAAGATATCTACGAAGAAGTCAAATTGAACAAATTGTTTAAAAGGTTGATATTGTGTCTTCAATACAAAGAGATCTGATACATGGTCAATTAATTGAAAATTACCTAGCTTTTTCCAAAGGACTCAAAATAAATCTTTCTTTCAATGTGGGTCATGGTACACCTGCAGCTATCCCTTCTTCAAAACTAACCGACCTAATTTTATCATTAAAATATTCCATCTCCTCCAGTGTCCAGGCCTATAAATATAATCCATCCACTCAAATAACTTCTACATCCTAACTTGAAGCTGAAAAAGGTTATTATATTTTCTCAGCCAAAAAAAAAGAAAAGAAGAAAAAGGAGATGGAAATCCCTGTGATTGACTTCAGTAAGATTGAGGGTGAGAATAGAGGTGAAGCAATGGCACTTCTTCATGAAGCATGCAAAAACTTTGGCTTTTTCATGGTAATGAAATGTTGTTTAAATATCTCAAAAGTCATTTATAGCATGTTTTGTAAGATAGATTGGACAGTTGACTATACTATCTAATTCTATCTAGTAGTATCTACCAAACATACCACATTCTAAAATAAGCGTTCTTCATATCATGATATGTAACTGCAGATTGAGAACCATGGAATTGATAAAGACCTTATGGAGAAAGTGAAGCATTTGGTGAATCTGCATTATGAAGAGAACATGCAAGGCGAATTTTTTGACTCAGAGACAGCAAAGAGTTTGGCAAACAATGAGTATATCAGCGGCAAAGACTGGGAAACCACCTTCTTCGTTTGGCATCGTCCAAATTCCAACATCAATGAGCTTACCCTGTCAAAAGATCTTAGGTAAGTTATAACTTATAAAAATCCTTGATGGTCGTTCAGTAAGATAAAATATACGGCACTAGACACCATTGAGGAAAATAAAAAACTAGCAGCTAAAATCTCGTTCATTATATTATTTAATCACGTCCAATACTGCACACCAAGCATGCAAATACAAAATCTTAAAATGATGATATAGATAACCAACCATTTAACTCATTTGGATTAATAATGAAACATATATGCAGCAAAACGATGGACGCATACATTGATCAACTGATTAAGCTTGCGGAAAAGCTTTCCGAGCTCATGTGTGAGAATCTGGGTATACAAAGGAATTCCATAATGGAAGGATTTGCTGGAGGCAGCGCTCCTTCCGTGGGGACAAAAGTGGCAATATATCCCGAATGCCCTCGCCCTGAACTCATCAGAGGACTCCGAGAGCATACAGATGCTGGTGGGATTATTCTCCTGCTGCAAGATGATAAAGTCCCTGGCCTTGAATTTTTCAAAGACGGAAAATGGGTGAAAATTCCGCCTTCAATAAACAACAGACTTTTCGTAAATACAGGTGATCAACTGGAAATTTTAAGTAATGGAGCTTACAAGAGTGCTTTGCACCGAGTCTTGGCTATGAAGGATGGAAGCAGACTCTCCATCGCCACCTTCTACAACCCTGCTGGTGATGCAATCATTTCTCCATCTCCACAGCTATTGTTACCCAATCATTTCCGCTTCCAAGATTACCTAGACCTTTATACCAAAACTAAATTCGAAGAAAAGGGTCTCAGGTTTGAGTCCATGAAGAGCATGGCAAATGGACACTAAGAACATGTTCAGTACACGGCATTGGACACAACTAGACGGTAAAACGGACAAGATTTCAGCTTTTTCTCTTCCTTTATACTGTCTTGTATTATCCAATGACCTTACTAAACATGCAATAAGTGTTCCTGCAAGAGAGTCATAATTCTTAAATCCGTTATGCGTAACAGTGAAGTAATGTGTCCTATAATTTCCTTCCTTATTTGTCAGTCTTTTTTTTCCCTTTACTTTGTCAAAGTTTAAGAGAACCTGCTGTAGACTGCTTCCTTAACTTTTCTTTCATAGGTAATATATAAACTACAATGTTAAAAAATTTCATTTCCATTATATTGTATTAACGAGGCCAAGTACTCAGCCATCGAAGGCAAAATATGTTCTCAAAATGCATTATCATAGATATGCTGATCAGACTGTAAACATAAATGAAAATTCTCACTAATATGCTTAAGGTTTCAACCAACTTTAGCATCCCCAAGACTAAAATTCATTCTTAAGAATAGCAACACCAGCATACATAAGATAATATGAAGCAAAAATATTATGCATCGACTCCGACAAATGTCTGACACGACATGTGTCAAATATGTCGCATGTGATTTTTTAAAAACGTACTGACATAATACATCGTCGACATGTAGATTAAATTTTTAAAATTCTTCGTTTATATAGTATAAATTTAGTTTTATAATTTTAATCCATTTTTCTTATTGAAATATTTTAACTATGAGTACATATTTGATATTTACTAATCAATCAAGAAATTAAAACAATTCGTTTTGAAAATTAAGTATTACAAATTATCTAGTTGCTTCAAACTTTCCAATAAACCTAACGGAACGGAATGCAGCAAAAAGACTTGCATTCTCGAAGATCTCCAAATTTAATAAGAATGTGGCTAAGATAAGGCCATAAGAAGGATGAAAGTTTCCTTCTCATCTTGATGTCCATCTGATGCTCCTGCAGCTATTATAAACCATTTCTTGTGCTGTAAAGTATGGCCTTTTTTGCCTCTCCTCTTTTTGATGCCCTTTTATCTTCATTGCTGGTATTTCAAACTTAAGAGTCGTCCCGACTGTGGCAGCTGTGGCGATAGCCATGGCTCGTCTCAACTTTCTTTGACTAGTCCCACAGGCATTGCATAGTGACTGTAAACAAAGAAATGAAAAAGAAAAAATGACAAAATTAATCAGTCTTAAGTAACATTTGATCCGAAAATTAATCCGAAATTTAAATAAGTACACTGGGGCCTTTCGGACCACTTCCCCAAAGAGGGGTCTTAGTTGTGTTCCAATCAGCACAAACCCTAGTTGTGTTATCAACGTTGTTGTTGCTGCTGTTGTATGAGGAAGTTTTTCTGCTAAAATCAGTTTTCGAAGAAGAGGAATATTGTTCTTCCGATCTTCTAACTTCTTCACACGACTACTAGATATTTTCAGACTCTTGTGATGCGAGTATTTGGAATCCTCCATCAACCTTGTCTGCGAAGACATTCATTTGACTGGATTATTCTCCGATAGGCTTTCGCCCTGATCTTGATCTCTCTTCCTCAGCAGAGATAGTTCGAGTCCATCTTCATCAATTTTCATTATCATCAGAATATATAATTAATTAAACCAACAAAAATCTTCACAAAAACTGTATCAAAACACACTATATATGAAGTACATCTAGATGCTGCTGCTGCTGCTGCTGCTGCTGCTGCTGTTATATTAGACTATGGGATTCATCGACGAAAATATAACATGAGAATGACGATGTTGCATCGATTTGATTTTCATTTTGATCAAGCGGTAAAGGAAAAGGCAGGGAATTTAGGTTCATTCTTAATTATGATCCAAAGCAAGATTAAGAAGAGATAGTGAAGAGTTGTAAATTTGTTTTAAATTTAAGGAAATGCCTGTAGGCTGCAGAAAGGGCCTAGGCATTCATGTGAATTCATGGCAACCAAAAGAGACAAACCAAAAGGAAGGAGAAGAATGCTAGCTACCACACAAGATCATATGATAGTACCTTATCTCTGAATATATAATCCTTATTCAAACTAATGATAAGTACTCTCTATGTCCCACCTTGCTTGAATATGAAAAAATAATCAACGCATAAGGGATTTGGGCTACGATCTCTGAACAAGATTAACAAGCCTCTTACGGTATCTTTGGCATGTTAATTAGATTGGACATTACTGAACAAGACGAAAGACGGTCAATAAACATCTCCCTTGTCATTCTTCTTTAATTTTATGAAGAAAAGTCGCAAGAAGTTATATCCTCGAGGCATAAGCCAATGCAGGTATTGGGAAGCAAATTTTCTACCTCATAATTCCATAGAAATTGGCATTCTATATATAGTTTTTGCCATTGCAGCAAATGGTTATTGTGTTATCAAAGCTATATTGTAGAATTTTGAAGATGTGAAGAAATGTATACTTGCATGCCAGCCTTAGTGTTGCCAAAAGGCATTGAATTGGCTCTGCAGGCGAAGGACTGGAACAGCTTTCCGTGCACCTGTGCTATGTTACTTTACTCACAGCTTCATTCATATTATAGTTTCTAAACTTTCAGACCAACAAAATAAATCTTTTTCTAAATAAATTTTTTGTTCCTTAAATTGATAAGAACTATCTTTTCTTCACTACTTATCCCAACCCAGTCGAGGCCAGCCCCTAGTCCCCGTCCCCCCGGGATTTCTTCGTCCTTCCCATACTGATATAAAGATACATTGAATAAGGAGGTCCCTTCCCCCTCCCATCTTTTTCCCCGTCTTCTTTTTGTGTTCTGTTGTGTTGATTTGGCAACATCTGGAAAAGACCATGGAGGTCAATACATTTGATTGGAATCCCTTTCACTTATTGTGGTCGAATTAATGTAAAAAAGAACCTTTGAGTTTGTTTTTCATTTTCTAGAATAGTGGGTAAATTCAGTATTGACAAATGATTGTAGTTTCCTCTTTTAAATTAGTATTTTATTTCCTTTGCGATTGAGATTTAGACCATTCTCATTCATCAAATTGTAAATTTAAAGTCGAAAATACAAGTGACTTGATTACAAATGATTTTGAAAACTCTACCATATAAAGTAAGATTTTTTGAACTCGAAATTTAAATATTTACAAGTAATATTATTATTCAAAGCATTTTATTGACATCACCATTTGTATGAGCACATCTCAAATGGTGGTGTAAAATTGAGTATAAAATGATACTTTAAAATCACTTTTGCATCCTCATTTACATTTCAATAGATCTAAATTCAAAATTTGCTCCAATGAGAATATCCTAAAAATTGTGTACAAGTGAATCCATAGCTTTTTGTCTCTTATGGATCCCACATGTAAATCTAAAAAAATATATTTAAATTTATATCTTTTTTTATATTTACTGTCAAAAAATCTTGCATCTCCCCTAGAGAGATTTCCGAATATTTTGAAAATCTAAATCACAATTTAGAACTAATTTAGAGAACAATCGGAGATGGTCTATGTAGGCTGTCGAAATCAATCAAACCTTTCAAAAGCCATGAAATTGTTCTGTTTATTGCTAAAAGTTAATACCTCATGAGGAAAATTATAATAAATCGTCGTAAGACATAAATATATATGCCATAACAAGATTGACTCCGTATGCAGCATTGGGGTCACTCGTGTGCATGTCTTGGCTGGAGGCACAGAGAGACACTCAAAACATAATATCAGATTTATAAGGTCTATCCAAAGCCAAATTGCTTTCATAGCTGCTTCATAAACTGAGGGATCGTAGCCTTTGTTCAATGTCAAAATGAGGCTATTTCTTTTATGTTCACGTTGAGTCGAGTCATCTATAAATTCACCACTTAAGGACATACCTATCATCTCCGAACCAACATCCATGATGGCAGAGAAAACCATACTTATTACACGCCCTAAAGTTTGGACCTTATTATTATTATTATTATTTTTACTTTATAAAATTGGTTTAAGAAGAAAAACTAACCACCCCACCCCCAAAACCTCATGTATATGGTTCATATTCATGGAGTTAAATATCTATGATAAGAATAGAAGTGCTAGACGGGTTGAGTCACTCGAGCTCAAGAATGTCAGCAGGCCTTTAAAACAGGTGTGACGAGTACATATCTGATATAATTTTTCTCTCAAGTGTCGAACTTTCACATCCACAGTATATTAACTGTTTAGAGCTTGGACAATGCATTGATTCGACTAAGAATAATAATAAACTTAGAAATCACAAGTTTTTGCAAATAAACAAAGGTAGATTCCTCCAAGCAACCAAATTAATATCAGAATGAGAATAAGCGAAGTAAAATGCATTTATAGATGTAGCTCTCAAACTTGAAACCAAGTTATAGCTCTAACTCACAGTTTCAAAAAAGCAATCCGTCATGTTAATTAATTTGCAGAACAAAACCTCATCCTATTTAATAGGGAAAAAGAAAAATCAAACATAGATGCCAGAAGAAAGTAGCAAGAACAAGGATCCAAAACCCTGTCAATTGAAACAAAAGTTCGGCATTATCAACAAATAGATTGAAATGGGAAAATTTTCATTTGGTGTGAACAAGTATAGACGACGTTGACATACCAAGAAGACAGATGCCACCACCGCTGTAGTGAGCTCCTTCACGAGACTGCGATTCTTCCTGGAGGAAGTAGCTTCATAGCTGCACAGCCAACAAAAAAACAGCTAAATTGACAAAATGAGAAATGAAGACATACACCCTCTCCTACAAGTTCCGGTCGAACTTTCTGTAAGCACCTTCCCTCTGAGCTTATCTTATTTGCGTCATCTTTTTTTATCCAAAGACTCCTTGATACCACGACAGGCCGAAAATTCCATAGAAATATCATTGTATTTCATTGTAAAATCTGTCAGCCTTAAGTGGTCATTTATTTAGCTACTTGTAAAGCAAAAGGGTGAAGTTGTTGTTGAGTCACTAGTAAGTGTTCAGTGATTGATATGCATCAATTAATTTTGCTGCAGATCTAAAGTTGAAAATCTTTGTCTAACACAAATAGAAGAGGATGATGTTGTCAGTAGAAAATCGTCTTCTGACCAAGATAAGAGAAATTTGCTGTAGCTGCCAACAGTGTAGAGATGCAGGAATTAGTGGTTCAGGATCATATTCTAGTGGACAGATGTATTGATCAAACCAGTAAAAATTGATAGCCAAACATTCTTCTCCCTTCATATCTGGTTAGATAAGCTTTAACATTGATATTCATTCTAAATGAATTAAACTAATTGTGATCCCAGGAACATACTATTGCTTATTTAAACTGTTATTGAGATCTCCTCAAGAGTTGTTAAACTCAAATATAAAGTCGATCTAAACCGCGTGAAATATTCTTTAACAATCAAAATAGAAATATTCTTGCATTCACATTTCAACTTAACCTTCAATCATTCAATCATTATTATCTTCTACTATCATTCATTCTCTAATGCAGAATTTGTTTAAACTATTCATACTTTGATTTATCCCATATATTTTTGCAGCATACTCAGTTGTATTTGCTCAAAATGCTCTTAAAAATTATTGTGTTACAATATATTCACTCCCTTCTAGATACCCTGTGGGATCAAATAAGCTTCTAAGTGAGGCACCATCTTCCAAGGACTGCTAGATAACACTTAACCTCATTCGCATATGGAGAAGTACAATTGCATGCTAAGTCCCTACTTAAATTCTCACACTTAATATTCGTCCATGAGATGGGGAAAGCAAGAGTGGACTCCAGCCAAATTCTACTATGCATTATTCCTAAGTCCCAAGTATGATTTTAGGATCATATGTCAAGAATTAGACCATGATTCAACTCATAGCTTACCAAACGATAAAATTTGTTGGCTTGCTATTGCCAATTAGGGGATAAAATTAAATCAACCAGTATATGTTTGTGGATGTGAAACTCAAGCAAGTGAATATGAAAACCCACTAGAATTTAACCCACCAACCAGGCTTGCCACTTATTTCATCGTCTACTACGAAAATGCACTCTCCAACAAGAGAAATCCAAAGGACCCAAAAGAGAACTCAACAACCAATACAAAACCACGATTTTCTTTCTCCCTGTCGTCCAGCAGCACCAGTACCTCCCAAATTGCAAATAGACATCTACTTATTTACTTGACTTAACTAGTCCCAGTCTACCATTATTCCCCTATGAGCCCAGGCAAGCTAAGAACAACCAGAAACCTGGGTTGCCAACTTAATCAAAAACTGAACAAGCAGAGGCAAACATGTCTCACCAGCACCACTGCAAGAAATGTCTCAAAACAAAAATTGATACATATTAAACCAGTTAATGTTTAATATTTGAATCTTTTCCAACATTGTAAATGTAATCGAACACAAATTTTTGCACGACAATTAGTTATGAACCAAAAACTTAGCATAATCTTGGTAAATACAATAATACCCCCTTAATTTTAAAAATAAAACACATTCCACCCTAGTATCAAATTTCATTCTTTCATATCATTTTCCTGTGTCTTGACATCTTTAAAGGACAAAAATGTCCACGAGATAGACGTAGGCAAAAGAAGATGCTAAGATGGATGTACAGCCATATTATAATGGAAAAGGTAAGATGTGAGGACGTGCATTAACAAAGTGGCAGAAATGAGGATAAATTAAGACAATGACGAATTGGATGGTTTGGTCATGTTTTGCTAGACAGAAGAAGCTGACGCATTTACAAGAGAAATGAGAATATTAGAGGAGAGTGAATGATAAACCAAAATGCATGTGGCCTCTATAATTACGAAATATTCTGTTTTATACAACCCATTCATAGACCATAACTGTAATGTTGCATCAAAAAGAGTGCAGAAAATGTTCCCTGCAACCACTATTGGTCAAAAACATTTTTGTGCTTGTGTCTTAATCACGATCCTTCATCACATAATCTTACAGCTGCTACCCAGCAACAACTTACTGGAAAATCCAGCACTCATTATACCCTTTAGGATCAAAGGCCAATATCATTACACTCTGAAAAACCCTACTTCACCATCAAGATTCCAATGGACCACCAAATTTCACACTTGAAGCTTTAAAGAATTATGTTTGAAGATTTAAAGAATTATGTGTGCTCCCTAACTAATTTATGACTAGGTACTATATTACCTTTAGGGAAATTACATGTTATGTAATTAAAAAATACCAGGTTTACTATATACTCTACCAAACAAGGAGTGCCGAACATGAGTAAGAATATACTTGACCATGAAAATCAGGAACACTGTCAACAGGGGCGGACCCATTAAGGGTCCAGTGGGGGCAATTCATATTGAAAAAAATGCCCACATAATTTTAGCCCATATTTTTCAACCCAAACCCAATTATTTTGATATCTAATTTTGTCTCGCACACGCTGAACCATAATCCTGGGTCACCCTGACAATCAACCTAACGACCCACTGCCTAAGCAAATAGGATATAGGAAAAATTGTAAAAAATTCAGATACAGAGTTAAATAAATTGCATTAATACATGAAAGACAGCAATCACATAGAGTAACTGTGGTTAACAGGGCACAAATGATGGTCTTCTGCATCATTAGATAAAAAAAGATCCATAGTTTGGCTCTCCTATATGTTTTAGATGAAAACTTCAAAAATAATCGTTCTACAAGTTTTCAAATGAAAAAAACATGTTTATAGTATGAAGAAATCTTGTGAATCCACAACTAGTTATCCCAGAAAATGAATATGATCTAAACAGATTTTTGACGAGAAATGACATCAAAAACCACACGAGGAAATGAATACACAAATTCAAATTCAAGCAAATCACGTATGGGAAAAAATATAGAAACGATCGCTTACATGAAGAAAGAAGCAGTGACAACGAGACCTATAGCGAGCATGAAAACAGCAAGGGTTGGGTACCATGCGTCTGGTACAGGGCTAGAGATCGATTTCGTCGTCTGAGAATTATTTTTCAGACAAATCAAATGCACAAAAAATAGCAAATAATAATAATAATAATAATAATAATAACGGAATTAAAATTTGTGCAAAAATGTAAAAGAGCCACGGATTTGGTGATACCATTTCGAAATATACAAGTGCTGATGAGCAGATCCTCCTTGGGCAGCTCCCCCTTTTTTTTCTTATTCTTTTTCTTTCACTCCGTAGACCAGAAGATTTTCAACCCTTGTGCACAGGAGTGGAGTGGATTCAGTGTGCTTGGGCACGTGGAAATATTGTGGACTCAAGTTGATATTTGACTAAACTTCAAAAACCCGATTGACCCGGTTCGTCAAAATATGGCAGGTTTGGCTAGGTTTTCCAAAATGGGCTTTGCCATTCAAACAGGGCCCAATGATAAGCAACACCTCGGCCCTTCAAATCAAGGCACCTCGGCCCCTGTTTAAAGGCTTGTCATTTGACCCTGTCACTATAGCAGGGTTGTTCCAAAATATATGGTTCCATTTTGTTTTATTTTGTCACTCACAATCTCTATCTTTTTTTTTTTAAGAAATACTTTTATCAAATTGTTACCTTGACAACGGTTAAACAAGAGAAAAAATGAATTGCACAAACACAGTCAGCGTGGCTTACAAAACAAGTTGTCGATAATTTGAAACTAAGCCATCGAACATTGGTTAATGCATAATGTTTGTAACGACTCTCTCGTTCAAAAATGAAATGTTTCAAATCTCCCCAAAAAATTCTGCTCCAATTAGACTACCATTTATCCATATGCATCAAAATTTCAATTCATGAATTTCTTAATATGAGAAATCAAGATAAGATGAGAATAAAACTGACTCTTTTAGCTGCCGATGAATACATACAACATTAAAAGAAGGAGAAAGTACAGTATCAATTCATATAATTTCTTCCAAAGCCTTTGGACGCGGAAAAAAAATGAAACAGAACAAAGAAAACCAGATTCAAGATACGTGACGATGTGGCCGAAAAATTTGAAACGATATGGAATTTATTAGTTATAATCCTTGTGATCTAATCCGTCCATCTTGCCATCTCTTGGTACATAATAATTTACTGCAACATCTTTATTCAACAGAGCACACTAGGCAATTAAAAAAAGACGGTGTCTAAGAAGCAAGTGGAGCCGGTCCATCTCTCGTCTCCTCAAAGAACTAGGCAGTCCTTCAATAACAGCTCAAAAGCTGCGAAAGATCAGAAATCCAACAAAAATCCCAAGCGCCTGCAGACATATAGGAAAAGGCAAAGGTCAATCCCCACAGCACAGTTTGGGAAAACAACAAAGTACCCAATAAAAACTTCATCAAACTGCTGAATTATCAGTAGATGAATATATATAACCCATCCATATATGAAAGCCAGTAATATAGTAGGACGTCACGACACTTGTATGCTCACAATCATAATTATAATGCAAAACAAGTAAAATACATCCAAACTTACTTATAAAAAAAAAATACATCCAAACTTAAATGGGAAAATTGTAGCGGAGGTCCCAAACCTTTCATTTTGTTGTAGAGTATACCTTAACCTTTCATTTTTGAGGCCGCAGTCCCAAACCTTTCAATTTAAAGACAACCGCAGTCCAACTGACAGATTCCGTCCAGAATGCTGTTAGTCAACACCGAAATTGAAATTTTGACTCAAATTGGCGAACTAAATGCGGGGTGAAATGATAAATAAACATTTTTCTAAAATAAAACAATTCAAATGATTATATAAAAATCAGCAAAACACCAAGTACTTCTTCTTCTCCAAACATCTCTCTCTCCATCCCCAAAATCAAAATAAAAAACAAAAATAAAAACAAAAACAAAAACCAAACCAAATCACTTCGACCACTGCAAACACATTGCCGCCATTACAGTACCACCTATCCGTCATCGCCTTTGCCACACCGCAGCACATCGTATGGCACCAGGAACCCAATGCCAAATGAAATTAAGAATGGTCTCAAAGCTAGAAAAGGGTGTTCATTGGAAGATCTGCCTTCAATCCAAAATAATAGGGGTAAATCGATCACATCGAAGAAGAAGCTAACTTGCCTTGCCCCCGTCTCCATTAGTTCTCCTAAAGGTGGTGTTGTTGACGAGCAGCTTCTCATCAGCTTCAAGAAAAAAATTTGAGACCCAAAATAGAGATGGTGGAATTGAATTACGAAAATCACTGAGTTTTGGTGGAAAAAAATTGAGCAAAAATTAATTGCTCTCTAGTAGGCATATTATTAAGACATACCAAAAATTAATTTTGTGGGTGTTTGCATTGACGGTGGCTGCAGTGGGTGGTGCAGCATCGTGTGTATTGGGGGTGGTGGTCGGTGGTGACTGGTTTTGGGTTGGGATGGGATAAGTGGAATGTTTAGAGAATATATTCTTCATGATATTTGGTGAAGGTATTTTAGAAAATGTTCATTTACCATTTTAACCTTCACTTATTTTGACAATTTGAGTCAAAATTAAATTAATAAATCACTGAGTTTTGGTGGAAAAAAATTGAGCAAAAATTAATTGCTCTCTAGTAGGCATATTATTAAGACATACCAAAAATTAATTTTGTGGGTGTTTGCATTGACGGTGGCTGCAGTGGGTGGTGCAGCATCGTGTGTATTGGGGGTGGTGGTCGGTGGTGACTGGTTTTGGTTTTGGGTTGGGTTGGGATGGGATAAGTGGGATGTTTAGAGAATATATTCTTCATGATATTTGGTGAAGGTATTATAGAAAATGTTCATTTACCATTTTAACCTTCACTTATTTTGACAATTTGAGTCAAAATTCCAGTTTCGGTGTTGACTAACAACATTCTGGACGGAATCCATCATTTGGACTCCGGTTGCCATTAAAAAGAAAGGTTTGGGACAGAGACCACAAAAATGAAAGGTTAAGGTACACTCTGCAACAAAATGAAAGGTTTGGGACCTCCGTTGCAATTTTCCCAAACTTAAATATTCAAAAGAACATTGAACTAACTTATTTTACTGAAAAGTAAACTTAGCCCCTTTCTATCTCCCTTTAAAACAAAACTCTTTAAATCTAGTACTCATTTTCAACTACACGTTTACCCAATAAAATATTTTGCACACAAATCCAAAACATCATTTTTTTCTCAATATGACCATCAAAGACAGGCTTAATTTTAAAGAGCTCCTAGGGATTGCAAGCACTGTCCTTTACCAATACATATTTCTTTCTATTAAGCGTGTGCTTGACAACCATTATTTTCAAGCTATTTTTTCTACATACTCATTTTCAACTAGACATTCACACAATACAATATTCTACACATAAACCTAAAACCTTTCCCTTCTTTTTAACCATCCATTCTTCTAAAAATCACTACTGACCAACTGTAATGTAAAAGAAGCACCTGTTAAGCCCTCCGTTTACTCAAACGCCAAGAATTAGGTTCGTGGTATCTGTCATATAGGGGTTCAATGCGCTCTTGTCTCTTGCGCTTGCTCATTTTTGTAGGATCTGCCACCTTGAAGAATCTTGGTGCCAGTTCAACAAGCCACTTGGGATCTACGACTGTGACCTCACGCATATACTCCTTCGTAGTCATAACCAGCTCATGGTAAATAACCCAGTCTGGTTGTCTTTGAAAGAGAGCACTGCTTGGATGTATATAGACTGGCTGATTCTCAACAAGTGTTCTATAACCTTCTTGTGGATCCTTCCTCGCTGCATGGAAAAAGAACCCTGCTGCAATAGCCTTCCTTATCTTTGTAAAAATTTTTCCAGCAGAGACAACGTCCAATTTGTACCTGAAAACAAGAAGCATGAGTTTGAAATTTAAAGAAACCAAAACATTTCAAATCTTAATTCTAAAGCATGACATAGAGGAAATATAAAACTGAGACTGTGAACCTAGAACTAAAATGCAGATCGTCTTTCCCAAATACTATGCTTGCAGTTGATAAATGTTCAAAGGTTACGAGCATCAACTAAGATGCTGAATATGACAAAGTAATGTCACCTAGTTTTGTCTTTTCACCCTTTACTTTCCGGAACTGTGTTAAAGTGTCAATTTCAGCAGTTATTCCCACTCTCCTACTTGCAATCCTCTGGAACACCACCACCGCCACCGCCAAAAAAGAATAAAAAAGGAAAGGGAAAAGAAACCCGCTTCCATTTCCACACAAGAAAACAATGGTAATCTGAACGAACTGTAATGAGCATGTTTATGCTTACGTCTATATGGCTCTGAAGAAATAGAGGAAAGACTCTAAAATGAACAATAAGCATGTACATTCACAAGATAATTTAAAGGCAACAATCTAATGTACTCAAAACCAAACTACTGCAAGAACAGGAAAAGAAAAAGCAAGAAATAAAGAGTAAATCAAAGAGGATGGAAGGCCATACTTGTCCATGATTGAGAGAAGTTGTTTCCTGACATCCTGTGCCCTCCTCAATGATCGAGACTGGACAAAGTTTTCAAAGCACCATGGTCCCGAGAAATTTTTTGCTTTCCATGCCTCATAAACAGCAAGTAGTGTCAGATGATCTCCCTCGGGCTGGAAAAATTTTGCCCTTTTTTGATCTGCTTGAGCTTGTTTTTCCCTAGGTCGGTAAAAGATGTTTCCTGTCTGAATCATTGCAATCATAGTCAAAATCTCATCACTACAACCGAGATCTACACTGGCAAGAAGCATCTTAGATAGTGGAGGTTCCAATGGAAATTCAGCCATTTTCCTACCCAACTTAGTCAGAAGCCCCTCTTCATCTAGAGCTCCTAAACTGTACAGCTGTTCCATGGCAGAAATGAGAGCTTGAGGAGAAGGTGGGTCCATAAAGTCAAAAGATAACAGATCGTTGATACCCATAGCTTTCATAGTAAGGGTAGTCATCCCAAGATTGATCCTCTGGATCTCTGGAATCGAGGTGGGAGACATTTCATTATGGAAAGCACTCTCAGTATAGAGGCGATAGCACTTTCCAGGCCCTGTGCGTCCTGCTCGCCCAGCTCTTTGCTTGGCTGATGCTTGAGATATCGGAGTAATCACCAGTGAATCAAGTCCCTGTTTAGGATTGTAGACATTTTGCTTTGCAAACCCTGGATCGATAACATAAAAAATACCATCAATGGTCAAAGAAGCTTCAGCAATGTTAGTAGCAACAACTACTTTTCTCTTCCCTGGAGGAGCAGGATCAAATATTCTGGATTGCATTTCGCTGGGAAGGGCACTGTACACTGGTAAGATAATCAGCTCAGGAACATTTTTGCCTAGACCTTTCATCCTTTCATAGAGACATTGACATGCATAATCGATCTCCTCTTGACCAGTCAAGAAGAGAAGGATGTCGCCTTCTGGTTCTGTCAAGTGAATCTGCATGACAGTGATAAGAGATGCATCAAGGTAGTCACTCTCCGGCTGCTTGGTGTACAATATTTCTACAGGGAAAGTTCTACCAGGAATGGTGAAGATGTTGCAGTTGAAGAAATAGCCAGAAAATTTCTCCGCATCCAACGTTGCAGACGTAACAATCAGACGGAGGTCAGGTCTCCGTTTCACAAGTTTTTTTAGCAGTCCAAAAAGAACATCAGTGTGAATTGTCCTCTCATGAGCTTCATCAAGCATTATCACTGAATACTGTGTCAAATTCTCATCAATCAGAATTTCCCTGAGAAGCATACCATCAGTCATATACTTGATAACAGTCTCTGGCCCTGTACAATCCTCAAAACGAATAGCATATCCAACTTCTTCCCCTAAACGACAACCAAATTCCTCAGCAACTCTCTTAGCAACAGACATTGCAGCCACTCTACGAGGTTGAGTGCATCCAATTTTGCCTTTAGCTGTGTACCCTGCCTCAGCTAGATACTGGGTAACCTGAGTAGTCTTTCCAGAACCTGTCTCACCAATGACAACTAGAACTTGATTTTCATGAACAGCTTGAACTAGTTCATTCTTCAACTTGTATATTGGCAGGCTCTGCCTCTGTTCCTGAATGGACAGCTTTGATCGTTGGCCAAAAGTAAGGGCTTTACCATATGCATCCTTCTTCCACTCTGGCATATCATATGCAGACAAACCAACACCCCTTAGCTCCTGAGCAAGATGCCGCTCACCAGTCTCTGGCATTGGGTCTTCCCAAGGCCGATTCAAATCCTTCGGAATCGAATCCAGCATTGTTCTTTGTTGTTGTTCTCTCACTTCTCTCCTCTCCTTTATCAGAGCAGACTGAAGTGCTGCCGCACGACTCAAAGACCCCTCAGGATTCTTGAATATCTTCACAGGAGACATATCGACAGAATAACGAGTCTGGCCATTTAAGAAAGCCGGCTCATCCTCATTCAATTCAATCTCAAGCTCCTCTTCTGCACCACCTTCTTCCTGATAGAGCATTCCATCCCCATCTTCATCATACATCGGATACTCCTTCACACTCATAACACCTGAAGCAATCAGCTGCTTTGCCTCCCATCTCTCAGGCGAGCTCATCCTCTTCAATGGACGTCGCGATGGAACAATGTCATTCTCCTCCGTAATCTTAATCCCTGAAATACCAATCCTACTCCCTGTACCCCCACCATTGCCACCAGAAGGATTCGTTCTCAACCCTTCGTCCTCCCCACTCCTCTTCAACGGCAATAAATCCTTTCCACTATTCTGATCCACATCCCTCATTGACAAACTCAATTTATTCCCACTGACTGAGATCACCTTTACATAGACCTCCTGGTCTCGCTTCACCACATCCTTGGCATTTGTAATCCTCCTAGTTGCAATCTGGGATACATGTACCAAACCCTCCTTCCCTTTTAATTCATCAAGTTGAACAAAGCAGCCTGTATCCATCACCCTTGAAACTCTCCCCTTATATACCGTGTACAATTCGGGTTCATTCGATCCACTATAACTTTCTTTCCTCCTTTCCTTCCTCTCATCCTCCCTCCCTTCCTCATATCCATCCTTTTTGCTCCTCTCATATCTACCCCTGTCCCTGTCCCTGTCCCTGTCCCTTCCTCTATCATTATAATCACCGTAACCATCCCTGTCCTCGTATCTACCCCTATCTCTATCTCTTTCTCTTTCTCTTTCTCTGTCTCTGTCTCTGTCTCTGTCTCTGTCTCTGTCCCTTCTCCTCTCTCTTCTATCTCGATGGCTGTCCCTATGCTTTCCCTCTTCTTTTTCCTCTCCATGGATCTGCTTCCTAGCTTCCTCTTCAATCTCCCTCTCCAGTTCCTTCACCCTATCCCTGCTGTCCTTAATTTTCAGGGCTGAAAACCCCGATTTCTCCCCCTCCTTTGAGCCAATTTCCGATTTCTCTTTCTTTTTCGGTGGCAAAATAGCGTGAATAATCGTAAGCAGAGTTCTAACAAAATAATCAGGCATCTCCGCCCCATTCTGTTTCAATTTAGCATCAAAATCATCCACTGTTTCGCATTTTCGACCCATCTCGGTAATAAATTCCGCTAAAACCTTATCTCCAAACCCAAGATGGGTCTCGAGTTCGGTGCAAACCTTCGAAACTAAGGATAAGTATTCGAGTTTCTTCAATCCATCGTCTTTTCTTTGCTTAATTCCTGCCCCTTCCTTCAATCCATCGTCCTTAATTTGTTCAATTTCTGTCCCCATCTTTCTCTCTCGCTCAAACACACGCAAGTTATATATGTACGAACTAAATCAGTATATAAATATGAAACCTTCGAGATCTAGGGTTTTTTAGCGTACCTGAAATTTGGGTTAGAATCAAGCACAGTTCTGAGATTTTTCAGTTTAGAGAATTAATTTTTGAATACTTATTTATGGCGACATCGTTCGCCGTTGTGCCGATCTTGGTATATCTATGGAATTCAAGTCGTGGTCTCACTTTTAATAAGTAACAGAAACGACCTTGAAATTACTGATTATTACAAAGACATCTCCTTATATTTTTTAAAATTCTAGAAATCTCCAGAGTTTTTATTTTCTATAAGAATTTGTTTACAGTAGTTCTAATTTTTCCATTTTGCTTTATTTAATATTTGAAATTATTCAAAATTATAATAATTTTATTTTTACTTTCTCTTTTCATGTCCTTTAAAAAAAATTTATATTGAATTGAATGCATTGTTTTAGTTGGAAAAATATTAAATTCAGGTAATATTATTTCCATAAATTTATACTATATTATTAAATTTATATTGTTTCCGTCTATTTGACCACAAATGCCGTCAGTTGACCTCAGAAATTAAAAATTTAATTATTTTCCCAAAATAAGATAAGAGCATTCTGAACATTATACATTTCCCCTATTAAATTAAAAATTAGAAAAGCAAAAAGCAAAACCACAACCACCCACCCCCATCTCCTTCTTCCCCAACTCCCTCACAAATGACTTTCCACCTGTCGAAGCCATCTCTAGCACTACCACCTCAAATTGGAGACAATAAACTCGTCATTGTCTTCATCTTCTGCAACGTTGTCATTTTCCATAACCTCATAATCATTCACCACCACGTGCTTCACCTCGACGGCTGCATCTTCACTCTCATAAACCATTGCCGCCGAACTGCTTAGATCCCCTATGGTGGAAGCGAGACGAAGCAGCGGCGATGATGATTATTCCATTGATGATGACATATAGATAAGAAGGCTTGAGCCATGACATTAAGGTGGACCAAAGCGCCGAGATTTCATGAACTACGCCGTGTATAATTATCAAAACCCACGAGATTTCATGAGCCACAAAACCTTAAGGAAAACCCACACATCACTTTCAATCTACGAATTCCCCATGATCTAATAACAAAATCTTCCTCAAAATTCATACAATCTACCAATCCAACTTAAAAAATGGGAAGTCGCAAAGCAGTTGAGTTGGGCAAGGCAGCAGACTTTGGGGGGAGAATTTGCACTAATCAACAGGTTTTATAAGATCATTAAGTTTTTCTTGTTGATGAGTATTGTTGGGTGGCCAGTGGTGTGATGCCGGTGGGTGGTGGTGGTTGCCGGCGATGAATGTGATAGTTGGGTGGAGTGGTTTTGGTTTGGGGAAGAAAGAGATGGGGGCGAGTGGTTGTGGTTTTGCTTTTTGCTTTTTGCTTTTCTAATTTTTAATTTAATAGGGAAAATGTATAATGTCCAGAATGTCCTTACCTTATTTTGGGGAAATAATTAAATTTTTAATTTCTGGGGTCAACTGACTGTATTTGTGGTTAAACGGACGAAAATCGTCAATTTCGACTTAAGCTGCACATTTTTTAAAGGTTTGGTACTCACGATGGCACAAATAAAAAGTTTGGGCAAAGTCTGCTAATAAACGAAAAATTTGGTACCTCGACTGCAATTTTCCCTTGAATTTTGATACTTTCGTAAGTTAGTTTATACTTGTAGCATTTATTCTTTTTTAATACTTTATTCAAGNCAAGTTTGTTCAAAGTAGTGCTCATATCTAAATCAATGTTTTCCTAGGAAATCATTTTGATTTTGCTTTTGATTCTGCCTAAGTAGAGGAATGCAAAATAATTAAGGATAGACTCGCATGGTCTCCTTTAGAATGATGTGAGGATTCTTCGATTAGTCGCGAAGTTAGGATAGGGGCGGAGATATAATCCCAAACATCGACTCTTTCTTCTATTTAAAAATTTAAACTATATTTAAAAACAAATAAAATCGAAGGCCCTTCCTCCATCACCATCCCTAAGAAAAATATGAAAAAGGAAAATCATAAGAATTGAGAAAGAGGAAAAGAAAAATATAATAGCATCGTTTAATAACAAATTCAAATAGTTTGGATCAAAAGGTATAGGTTCTATTCTGATTTTTCTCACTTTGGAGGATTTAATTTTTGCAATCTCATGTTGAAGACTTTAGGGTCCGTTTGATTGTAAAGATGGAATTTGGGTAAAAAGAAAACGAATTTCAGGAAATTGAATTGTTTAGAAATTGTTCTTCTGTACAAATTATTGTGTTTGATTGGTATAATTTTTCACGTGGAAAATATTGAAATGAAAGTATTTCTTGATGTTCGTTTGGCTTTATTTTATATAAAAATTGTCAAGTAAAGGAATATAATTTAGGAAAAATTGCAGTCGAGGTGCCAAACCTTTCATTTATTAGCAGACTTTGCCCAAACCTTTCATTTGTGCCAATGTGAGTACCAACCTTTAAAAAATGTGCAGCTCAAGTCCAAATTAACAGTTTCCATTAGTCTGACCTCAAAAACCGTCAGTTGACCCCACAAATTAAAAATTTAATAATTTCTTCAAAAGAAGGTAAGGGCATTCTGGACATAATACATTTTCCCCGTTAAATCAAAAATTAAAAAAGCAAAAAGCAAAACCACAACCACCCACCCCCATCTCCTTCTTCCCCAACCCCCTCACAAACGACTTTCCGCCTGTCGAAGCCATCTACGGCACCACCACCTCAAATTGTGCTTCACCCGATGGTTGCATCTTTACTCTCATAAACTAAAGCCGACTCTACATACACAATACATACATATCCTGCAATCTGGAAAACCCCAAGAACATACAGTAAAAGGGATTTACCGAAAACTCCAAGAACACCAAGAACACACAGTAAAAGAGGTTCACCAAAAACCCCCCTAAAACACCAAGAACTCAAGCATCTAAACCTTTGTTGGACGTCTCAAAGTAGAAGAGAAACAATCGAACACAAGAAACCTGAAACAAACCAGAGCTTGAACCGGATAGAAAACCAGGCTGTCCCAAATCTGAAACTCACCAGAAACTGCTAGTCGAACCGAAATAAGCTAAAGCAGAAAATCTATATACTGTCAAATGAAAACCCATCGATTTATTCATACTCATTTCCATCTTCTTCTTCGTTGCCACTTTTGACCTCGGAAGTAATTCCTTCCATGGCTGCATCACAGGAGGGTCTTTTTATTGGGCTATTGATGTTGCAGAAGTAGGCTTGCATACAACAATGAGTAATATCGAAATGATGGAGATAAGATCAATTGGGGTTAGGGGATTGGAGATATCGAAAGAGGAGATGGGCTTTTTATTTTTTATTTTCCTTTTTTAATAATTGTTTTATATTAAAATTATAAAGTTACAATTTTACCCTTGCCTTAATTGGTTAACTTATTAGATTTTTTAATTTCTAGGGTCAATTGATAGTTTTTGAAGTCAAACTAACGGAATCTATCAATTTAGACTTGAGCTACACATTTTTTAAAGGTTTGGTACTCACGGTGGCATAAATGAAATATTTGAGCAAAGTCTACTAATAAACGAAAGGTTTGGTACCTCGACTGTAATTTTCCCTATAATTTATTGGTATTAGGGGTAAAATTTGTTTCTATTGCAAAAAATAAAATAAAATAAAATAAAATAAAATAAAATAATAATAATAATAAAATATCTTTTTACAATAATTCTTAGAATTTGTTTTCATTACAAAAAAAAATAAAAAAAAATAAAAAATCGCTACAATGACCGATAATTCCAATTCTCACCATTTTTGTGAGAATTCCAATCGCTTGATTTCATGAAAAATGTTGACGTGGCTAGAAAGTGAGACTTTCAATTCTAGGGAAAATTTTGGACAATCAAACAATCAAAAGTTGGAATTTGAAATCCAAATTCCATTTTCTATGGAAAAAGTGGAGTAATCAAACGATGCCTTAGTTATATTTTCCTAGAAAATCATAAGAAATTAGATAGAGCAAAAAGAATAATACAATAACCTCATTTAATAACAAATCCAAATATAGTTCGGATCAAAAGGTATAGGTTCTATAATGGTGTTTCTCGATTTGGAGTATTTGATTTTTAAAATCTCGGGTTGAAAATTTAGTTATATTTTTCGAGATAGTCTTTTAGGAACTAACATTTGAATGTACCGGTTGATTTCCAATAAGAGATCATCGTCTCTTGAAGAAGATTGCAATTCGCAATGCCTTGTAATTGAATATAGTTTTCCGTTACTTTATACTATATTCGTTATATTACAACAATGAATTTAAAACGATCATTGAATTCTAAATTTTTATCCATTACATGAAATGTAAGAGATTTCATAAATGCTCCATCATATAAAGTAATTGAAAGATAAAGGGCCATTTTCTAAATTATATTCTGATACATATAATAATGAATTCAAAAAACTAAAGGGCAGTTCTTTTTGTATTTTAGTTTTGTGTTTTGAGTTTTGAATTCATTTTGAGTGTCCATTTTGAGAATATTAAAAACGCGTTCCTTTTGTTATTTTAGAAAATTATTTCTCAAAACACGAAACTCAAAAATGCGTTCACTTTGAACCCAAAATTTAACTCTTATCTCTCAATACTGCCACCATTATTAACCATCAACTCCATGCCACCTATGGAGGGTCAAACCACCACTTTCCGGCCACCACAACCACCAGATCATAGTGCCAACTTGAAGCCTGCAATGTTGTCTACACCCAACAGTCGGCCCTAATTCCGGTCAGTTTGGACGAAAAATCTGCTCAAAATCAGCCAGTCGACCATCGAAATCAACCACTGTACCACCGAAATTTCTGCTCAAAATCAACCACCGCACCACCATGACATAAACATCAACCTAAATCAACCCCACTGCCACCACAATGAACCGTCAACCACTGCCAATCAACACTGCCATCCGAAATGAACACAACCACTGTCTGCCATCGCCACCACCAGTCACCACACCATAATGCACCGATCAAAACAATTTACCAGTAAGCACCACCGAAAAAACCCCATTGCCACTGATCGAGAAAACCAAAAAACCCCCCAAACCAACAGATCGAAAAGAGAGAGAACTGTAGCTGAATTGGTCGCCAAACCCCCAAACCTCCCCTGGGTCGCAATGAATGGGTCGCCTTC